AGATAGATAGATAGATAGATAGATAGATAGATAGATAGATAGATAGAATTATACACTAATCAGATTCATTGGTTATAATAAATCATTACCTTGCGCCTTGGCATGTGAGGCCAGAAGGCTTCCTAACAGCAGAATCCACAGGTATGACATCATGTAAAACGCGTCGTTCTGGTTGTGAAGAAAATCAGGGCTCAGGCTCCCTTTTCTCCCCCTTTTTTTATTTGTAAAGGACAATGGACCGGTCAGGTATGAAGTTTTCAGATGGATCCAGATGGAGATGCGTGCGCGCCGGTGCGTTCTCGGATCCGTCTCCAAAGGTGCCCAGATGCTGTCAAGTTCAGCGCGCGCCGCCGCAGACCTGCCTGTCGTCCTTTTGTCTGGATTGGGGGGAGACGGTTTGGGTTTTATGAAAGTGGGCGTGTCTCCTCCCGACTGACTGGCAGGGCGGTGGATCTACCTTCCTGTTGCTGTGGCAACATGACCTGACAAATACTTCCTTATTATAACTTTTAATTTAGATTTATGTTCAAGATATCTCCATGACTGCAGTGTTTGACAAACAATTAATTTATATAGATCCATTCAGAACAATTTATTTACATCTATATCATTTAAACATTCTAAAATCATTATTTTCATACAAGACAGGGTTCAAAGTTACACAATAGCAGGTCTGTGTTTATTTCATCCAATCAGCATCTAGATTTTTAAGATACAATTACAAAAATAGAAATCATTAGTCTTTTAGTTTGTTCTAATCCTAAAATGGCATTAGGTTTCTATTTGAGAAAACCACGCGCTCATGTTGAACAATTCAAATTTTTATTTATTTATTGGTGGTGGGAGTCTTTTCCTGCTTTATTTGGGTTTCACATTTTCAGCCAGCAGGGGGCGCCGTTCAGTCAGTTTTTATTTTATTTTTTTAAACGGACAACTCATTTTACTTCTTAAAATAATGTACAATTTGTACAGCACTAGACAATTATAATTCATTTTACATGTTTGCAGTATTGTGATCTGTTAAAATTGGTTTGACAATGTCCACTTGCACTTGACTCCTTTTGTAACATCAAGTATGCTCAGTTTATATTCAGGATCAAAACTAAATAAAGCAAGTGTTAAACAGTTTACCCAACAATCAAAACTATTCATTTTGTAGAGTGAAAACATGTATTTAAATGTATACATTTGGCCACAACTAATAGTAAAAAATCATCATTTAACCACAAAAAAAAAAAAAAAAATTGTGGATTTGGTCACCATGAAGACATTTGGACAAAAGTACCAACGAGGGTGTGAACACACATGCAGGCATCTGATGTTCCACGTGAACTCTGATCCTAACGTCAGAGGAGGTTTGTTGTTTTGATACAAATGAAATATGCTGCAAAATAAAAACAAAACAAATGGACTGAAAACAAACATTCTTGCAAAAATCATATCCTAATGTGAGGTAATGCCAATAAATTCATAGAGTTCCAAGTTGTGTCATCACCTCTACATGGAAATGTTACATAAAAGTGCAACAAAGTCATTCAAACAAATTTATTAGAGTTTTAGCAAAATTATAACATTTGACTAGTTTACTGTAAAAACGATTACGATGACTTTGCTTCAAATCATTTCAGTAAACAGATTAATTCTGGAAAAAAGAAATACAAGAACAAACAAAAACGCAAAGTTTGCTGGTCTTAACACATTCAAATGTCAGGATCCATTTGGCACCAATACCTCCCTCCTCCACTCCTTCTGAAAGTTCAAATTAATAGAAAAGATTCATACTGGGGGGGGGTGTCCTGCATTTTGGTCACAAAAATGTGAGGCAGCACAAGCAGCAGCTGATGGCCCCGGGCTGTACGATCTGAACGACTGCTGCTTTTGAAGAGTGGTACCTGAAGCAGCTCACATTTTGTTGAAGCACTCTTTGGCGTTGGACCACACCTGGATTCCCTGCAAAGACAAACATGTGGCAGAACATGTGAGCAAAGCGGATGGCATTTCTAAGCGTGCAAACACATAACGCACGCAAACTGAATTGAACAGGAACGCCCACCTTTTTACACACGCTGATCTGCATAACAGCGTAGCTGATTAGTGCTTCACGTAAATCTTTGTCCTTCTGCTCTTTAAAACGTTCAATGTCGTTCCACGCTTTTTGCACGAACTCTCTAACGACAAACAAAAGACATCAAATTATCAGATTTAATGCGCACGTAGAACAAAAAAAGAGGAAGGAGAAACTAGGACAATGAATCATTGTTTGCTTCTATTTGGCTAGGTCCTAGTTTTTTTTTTTTTTATTGACTCAGGTGGCTTTTGTTTATAAAACAGCCGAACAGACGGGTTGCTGTGCAACTTTACAGAGGTGCGCAGCAACCGAAGCAGCTGCCACCCTGGTTGGTTTGGCAGGAACGAACCCCTAAGGTGTAACGATAAGGCAGTTAGTGGTATCAACAATCCTCAAGGACAAACATTGTTCATCAGTCCAGTGGGATCACAACCCTTTCCTCAGAGCAGGGTGACGACTGTGGAGTCAAACCAGTTTAACTAAATCTTACAAATATTATATATGTTTTAGTTCCAACAGGATATGTTTAACCTAAAACCATGGTTACTTCATCTGCAAGATCATCTTGAGCATGTTCAAGCAGAAGTAAAACAGAGGAAGACATTTAAAGAACAGGAACTTAATGGTTTATCACTGGTGTTGGCCTTACTGGCACTCGGCGTTCTTCTCCTTGATGGCTTCCTCTCCTTCTTGGATGCTCTGTTCCAGGGCTGCTACCTTGCTCTCCCTCTGCTCCTGGCTCTCCTGACCAAATAACTTACTGGTCATTCCCTTTAGAGAGAAGATTCGCACTGCCTGCACTCACACAAACACAAATTAACATGTTTAGTCGTGGGTTTTAAACGTTCTACAGTTTCTGTATATTTAGCTAAACGTGTGCAGAAAAACTAGAACATTTAAAATCTGTTGTGTGTGACAGTGGTGTGCATTACCCCAGTTGCCAGCTCTTCTTTTTGTTGTTTCTTGTAGGCGAGGTCCTGCGCTGCCATCTCCAGCTCATACTGGATCAACTCATGTTTCCTACACACCGACCTGAACACAAACAGGAAATGACAAATGCTAGAGGATATAATAAATATGCTCTCAAAAAATGATTTAGAAGTGATGATATCCTAAATAATAAAATCACTGGCACAAACGAGGTATTTTACAAGGGTTAAAAAGGTGACATCAGATTGATATTCTTTTGAGTTATTGAGAAAAAAAAAGCTGCTTGGAAATGCTATTAACCTGACATTCTAAAACCACACGTGTATTTATAAAATAAATCTGGATTTTGGTCAGATGTAGGCCTTCTATAATACCTTTTTTTTTTGGTATATCTGAAACATCTACAACTCAAAACCATAAAAACAAAACCAACAAAAATACAAAAATGGTAATATTTGTGCTTATAAGTGATCTTAGGGGAACAAAGATTAAAATTAGTTCCTAAAAACATGATATGATGCATTTGTAGTGTCAAGATTCAAGCACACACACAAAAAAAAAAAATGCAGGTGGCAACCCTTTCATTAGTGTGATAGGCCATATCCTAGGAATATTTTATGACAGTTTGTTTCTTTTACTCTAATTTACCTGACAGAGTCGGTGTAGAAGAGGTATTCTTTCAGCTGGTCTGCGTAATGCTCTTCTTCCTCAAGAATGTCATCTATTGACGCAGCGTACCTGGACATATATTCAGTCATTTCATGGGTGAGCCGTTGCCAAACCACATTGAACAATCAAGAACAAGCTAAAGCTGATGTATAAGAAAAGGTGCCGTGTAAAGGTGAGGAAATATTTATAGTTTGACTTACGTGTCCATGTGGTGGCCAGCGCTCTGCAGCCCGTCTCCCATTTCCTTTTCTATTGCGCTCCATTCACTGAAGACGTCAAAATTCAGGGATGTCATTCTTTACGTTCAGTTCACACAACCTTAAGAATTGTTTTTGATCCTGCAGGCATTGATAGTCTAGAGATTACAATACTTTTTTGTAATCTTGACTGAAGTTTTTAAGATAATTGTATTATAGTCACATTAATCTGATTATTCTAAAGAGAAAAAAAACATGACAATAAATATGTTTCTTACCTGAAAACTCTGCCGTAGTTGGCATGGACCTTATAAACTCCATACTGTCTGTCTGCTACTCGCTGGAATGACAACAATCTAATCAACCAGCAGTCTACTGGAAATGTACCCCTATTTTAATCCTGCCCAAAGTTGACAGATTTTTCTTCATGAAAGCCAAACCTCAGAAACAAACGATGAAGAGTAGCTTCCTCCATTCTTCAGACTGAACTGTTACTTACCGCTCTCACTCTGAGTAACTGAGAGACGACGGTGTTCAACTCATCACTGTAGTGTTTCAGAGCCGTGAACCTCCTGAAGAACACAACAGATAAGAAATATTATTATTATTATTATTTTTTTTTGCTTTTTTCCCCAATAAATTCTATTTGTTTTTTAGTTTACATTGAAAAAGGATAAATTCTCATCCATCCTTCTCGCTTAGAACAGCTCTACCAATTGAGCCACCGTGTCGCCCTTCTTTCATAACCATCAAGTAAAAATTTAACAAACAAATGTCCCAGACATATTTTTTACATCATGAATCTTATAACTGTGTTTTTACAGTCAACATGAATATTTAATTAGTTCTGCTCAAAACAAGTTGTTTTACATGTCAAAAATAAAAAGTATACTTGGAACTTTTAAAATAGAAAAAGGTTGTTTTACACATACTTGTCAGGGTTCTTGACCCTTAACATGGCACTCAAAGACTTTAATCTGGAGTCCACCTTGTAGGGAACAGAAATATGCTTTACACAATCTAAGATTACATTTACTGACCTAAAACAAAACTGAAATATTCATTTTACAACAAAGAACTTGATCAATGCTTTTAAAACGGAGTGAAAGAAATAAAAACACAACTGTACCTTGTCTTGAAAACCTGTCTCAAGAACTGCCTCTCTCCATTCCTTTTCCTAAAAACATTTAGTAAATACAGGACAGACAGGGATGGAAACCACACAGAGTTAAAAAAAAAGAGAGACAAAAGTAAAGGGCAAAATAAATCCCTCAGAAGTTTATTGTATTGTTGTTATGAAGATCCTTTTGTTTAAAACATTAATAAGAAAATTAATGTTTTACACAAGTTTTTTTACGAGTTTTGCATGAGAGCTGGGTAAAAAAAAAAAAATGCATGCAAGAAAATAAACTTTCTCCAAATTGTTTCAACAATTTTTTATTTTAATTTTATTTTTTCCATTTGCTCCTCTGGTCCCTCTATCTGTGACTGACTGGAATGAGTGTGCAGCCTTGATTAATCCTCCAGTAAATTCAAACATTAGACAAGAAGCAGTCAGGATACATGAACACTAACAATTATCTGTACTTTTACAAAACTTTAGTTAAACAGTCAAAGGACTGTAGATAAAGTACATGTTTTTTTAAGATGAGAAGCTTCAGCTCAGATGATCCAAAATAAGGTATAAATAAAACCCTCTAAATGTTGGAGGAGTCCAAATAAGATAGCAAACACAAACGGAGCAGCATCTTGCATTGATTTTCTACTCATTTAATGTTAGTTTAATGTCCAAGTTAAACTATGGACATGTGAGCCATTAAATTTAGTTCAGTAGACTCCAAAGAGACATTTTAAGCTATTTTTGTAATTACTAACCTCTGTAAGAAAGAGAAAGAAAATTTTGTCATTGGACAGGACAGGATGTGATGCAACACGTAGCAGGAAGTTTTCCAGACCAACCCTCCGTCGCTCAACAAAATCTGGGTCGAGGTTGTCTGCAGAAAGCTTGTGCCACACAAACTCAGCCTACAAGAGACACAAGAAAATAGTTACAACAAAAAAAAGCAAATGTAAAAATCCAATACTAGAAGGGCTAACGTGTCACTCACCCTTTTCTCTGGCAGTGGAGGGACGATGACGTACGGATAGGTTACCAGGAGGTACGTTCTGAGGAGCTCAAACTCACTGTAGCGCCTCCACAAAGTGTCAGGAGCAGCCGGCGTACCTCCTTCTGGGACAGATTCAGCTGGCCTTAAGATGAAAAAGGAAAAAAAAAGTTAATTTTTTTTAACTTACAAGATAGTTGGGATGCTGCTCTTGTTAGACAGCTAGAGGCACAGCAAGAACATCTAACCTGTATGCCCTCAGCTGAACTTCTAATTAAAAAAATTTAGAAAATCTTTAAATAAATAAGCAATATGTCAAAGTGCTTTCAACAAGACAGTGATATTATTACTGTTTGTTAATGTACAAACATAGGCGTAGCCAGGATTTTATGAGGGGCGGTTCGTTTGAAGAAAAAGTGGACCTGTAGGACTACTCTGATTGGTTCATTGGCGGTGGTACACATAACTTCAAATGTGTAAACAAGCTAATTAGCTAGCTAGTTAAAACACTGCTGTGTGAGGTAAATCTGTGTTACCAAATAGGCGGTTGTGAGTGGAGAAAGAGCAACACACTGAGAGGGGAATAGCGTGTGTGTCCAGTCTTCTATTCACAACTCATCCCAGACACGAACGAACACTTCGGTACTCCCGAGTCCCGCCCGAACATACACACAAAAAAAAAAAAAACACCGAAGAAGAATGAAAGACGTCATCCTCTTAAAGGCACAGTACCACTCCTTAACTCTAACAACATAAATGCAAACTAAGCCCGCAAATAATAACATTACTTCAATTGCAAAAATAACTCATCTTTTTACTTTGCTTTGTTAGACATTGTTTTTTATGAATGAAATTAATGAATTGAAAAATACAATACAATCCACATCTACACATAAAAAAATGACACTATAGAGTAAGATTAAAATTTCTCAAGACAAATGTAGTTTTGCAAAACCTTTTTTTTTTACAATGCATAAGACAGTTTTGTCCAACATCTTATATCTCTGGATAGACAAGTGAGTCCAGCTCCATCCTCCTCGAGTGTTTGTTTGCAAACACATCAACAACTCTGTCAAGGTCAATGTGTTTGCTGTAGTGAATGTGAAGTAGTGCCAGTGATGAGAGACGCTCCTTCCCCATTGATGCCCGCATGTAGCTGTTCAGTCGACGAAGGGCACTGGCACTGCGCTCACACTCGCAGGAGGTGACAGGGAGTGTGCAGGCCAGTTGAAGTAGGACATGCAGGTTGGGGTACAGGTCTCGGTCACACTCTTTAATGGAACCTGCAGGGGTGTTCGGCCTCTGTGACCCAGGCACTCTGCCATACCTAGCAGAACAATTTAAACAAAAATGTTCTGTATAGCAATGTTGTAACATTCAATTTCTAAAATGGGCTTCTCAGGTGCTTAACTTCAAAATAACTTACTTCAACTTCCACCTTGTAATCTCTTGGTCAACAAGTTCTGGACTGGGTAGGTCTTCGGCATACATGCTCACAATCTCTGTGGTGTCGAGATGACGATTGCATATCACAGATGGCACTAGTCCCAACAAGGAGCTAGCTGTGGCAGACAGGGCTGAGTACAAGAAAGAAACTTTGTAAGAAACATACTTAAGTTTCAAGTTTTATATGTAATTTTTAACTTATCTGTAATTTTTTAAAATGTATTAAATTTTTATTTGTATGCTCTATGACCTCTGTAATATGTACACAATTGTTCAAAAGTTTTGGGTCAACCAATTAACATGTATTTTACCAAGAAAGCTCACACTTATGTAGTCAAATTAGTTTCAAAATGAAAAGAAAATATGTTCATCAAATTGATCAATTTGGACTGACTAACAGAAAATGCCACTGGAACACAGGAGTGATGGCTGAATAAAAAGAGAGTCAAGTGTGTATGCCTATATAATGTTTCTCCACCAGAGGGCGCACTGCAAAGGCTGAAAAAAAATCCTTGGGTCTTTGAAAAGTGGTGGTGGCTTCATACAAAATTAGTTTTTTTTATGCTTTTTAACATTAAAATGATATTATACATGAAAAATAAAGTTGATATTGCTTTAAAAACACCCATTTCCAGACATAACAGTCATTCACTGCATTGACTGTAGTTCTGATTACTTTTGTTATTTTAATTGCATAAAATTGTGATGTTTATTACAAAAATGTTTTGCCAGCAGATTCAGCATTACATGTATGCATATTGTCATTTATCCTAAGAAGATTATTACTACTATATTTCTTCAGCACTAGATGTTATTGATAAAAAAAATATGTATGAAAACAAAAATGCTAATAGTCTGGGGAAAAACAAAAACGTTGTAAAACAACCTTCATAAGTAAAGGCACTCCTTAGCCGTAGTGATCTGGAGAAAGTCATCCATGCCTTTGTGAGCTCCAGGCTTGACTATTGTAATGCTTTATACATTGGAATTAATCAGTCTTTTATCTCCCGTTTACAGCTTGTACAGAATTCTGCCGCCCGCTTTTTAACCAACACACGAAAATATGAACACATCACTCCTGTCCTGTCCTCTCTACACTGGCTCCCGGTTCAGTTCAGGATACAGTTCAAGCTGCTGCTGTTTGTTTTTAAAGCTCTGAATAGACTTGCACCTCTCTACATATCTGAACTTTTGAAAGTCGACCAGCCCAGCAGAGCTTTACGTTCTGCCAGTCAACACCTGCTGGAGGTGCCTTGCTCAAGGTACAAACAATGGGGAGACCGGTCCTGTTCTTTTGCCGGCCCAAAAGCCTGGAATAGTCTCCACTTTGAGCTGCGTGTCACCTCTGATCTGGCTCTGTTCAAAACCAGACTGAAGACCCACTTGTTAAAAAAAGCTTTCAGTCTGTAACTTTTATTACTTTTGGTATTTTAGTATTTTTATTTCCACTGCCTCCTTTTATTGCTGCTGTTTTTATTTTCACTGATTTATTGTACCTGTTTTTATATTTTCTGTCCTGTTAAGCACCTTGATCAATGCAAGGCATTGTAGGAAGGTGCTATACAAATAAAGTTTATTATTATTATTATTAATTCTAAGACATATTATTGACAAATCTATTTTACAAGAAGATCTGTTTTATTTATCTTTTTTTACCTGGAACTCTCGGTTTCTTTGAAACAAAGTTGAACATTGAAGCACAACCTTCAGCTGCTCTTTTCCTCTCTCTGTCCTTCTGCTTGCACCTACCCATCAAGGTTGGTATCCAGCACAGAAACCTGAAAAACAGTTTTTCTGAATGTTTGTTCTTTTGAAAAATTATCCAAACATTTATTTTTCACCATATTCAACACTGCTAAGTTATTGTATACATGTATCCTGTCCAAACTAAGCCTGAGGCCTGTAGCTTTTGTTTAGAAAAAACATGGACGCTCCGTTTCAGGCTTCCTGTGATTAACTGTGTCCTATCACTGTAAACTTAGCTTTAGGGATAGAATGGGGGTGACACTGGTACCAATTTCAGATAAATTACTGTTCCCAACATGGCGGAAATAGACAAAAACAAGGAAAAAAAACATGGCGAAAATCGTCGTCACAAACTTAGCTTAGCTATAGCATGTTTTAGCATTATCCCATATCTTATAAAAACGTGACCCACTTCTAATCTCTCTAACATCAAACGGTACTACTTTAAATACACAAATGAACAGTTGAATCAAAAACCACAATGTAATTTTACCGTTTGAATCCACCGTGTTGCCTTCCAAGCCAGGACAGAGTGAACGTCGTCTTCACCTCGCAGTTCTATATCTCGCGGGAGTTGTAGGTGGGACTTCATTGGCAAAGTGGGCGGTTCGTTCGAACCCCCCGAACCCCCCCTGGCTACGCGCATGTACAAATATGACAAGGCATTGCTAAACTTTGCCCATTTACTCAGTATGGCAACTCTTTAATGATTCAACCATCATAGGTTTTTCCTTTAATCAAAATAAACAGAAAGTTGTGATTGCTGTAAGCTATACAGTATTGTAAAGACAAAACTTGTTACATTAAAACTACAATTTTTATTGAATTAAACAATTAATGTTGGCAGTGCTTGCCCACTCCCGTATCAGCTGATATTCAGGTTTATGTACCTTGTTTCAATGAGGTAGACCGTGTAGGTTTCCTGCATATTAACAGTGTTTTTCCCAGTCCTTTTATCTGCCTCTGCTACGCTTATTTCCATTTTTTTCAACAGAGCAGTACTTCTTTCCACCATCTACAGATGTGGGAGTAAAGTGGACATTTAATAAACGTCACCTTAAATTTGAAAACAAAATAAGAAATGTCAACAACAACAAAATACACAACTACGAAATTCGTATAAACCTCTGCATAGCCCTTCTAAATCTACAATTTACATAATGTAAAGAACAAACATGATCTGTACAGTGCAATGGAGGCAGGTCACGTGACACAGTAAAATGAATGAGGTGCATTCATTGTAAACAAATTAGCATTGTGACATGCTAACTAGCATGCTAACAGCAAATACAAAGTTTTACGAAGTTTGAAATGACCGAGAACAAACTCAGTTTGGGCCTATTTTGCAAACGTCAATTTCACATTGCAGAACTAAAAGCAGAGTTTACTGTAGCAGCCTATACACTTTCATAAAGTTGTGAATTCCTCTTGAAAATTACTTGCGGAAAATGTTGTTGCTATGACTAAGCTAACTCAGGCCGTTGTTCTGCGGGTTTTCTCAAGAGAAAATAAAAAGAGGATTTTTAAAGTGCAAACATGCTTCCTATCAAGAACAATTAAAAAAAAGGACGACCGTGTTTATGATGTTGTTCTCGGATTCCGTTGAAGTGATGTCCGTGTTGCAAATCACGGCTACTTCTTCGCGACTGCCAGAGTCTGCCATCATCATCTGACCGCTGTCAGCTGATCTGGCTGCGCGCATGCGCACTGCAGTACAAGGGTATGGCTCCATTCACTAAAGATGAATGCTGCACGTGTCAAATTGAAGTTAAGGCCCGGGTGCCAAATGTGGAAAGCACAACAGAGAATATCAAATGAGACCAATCAAACTCTTGTTGAGGAACATGCAAGTCCAAGAGAAGATGGTGGGTGTCTGGCTTGAGTTAATGCAGTTTTTGAAATTGGCCCTTAGTTTGAACCAAGATTTTAATTGTGGTCCCCTTTTCAAGGATTCAAGCTTCTTTATTGTCATTCGCATCACATGTGGTGCATGAGGTGGAATGAAACTGTGTATACAGGGTCCCAGTTACATACAACAAAAGCATAAAATGTGAAAGAAAATCAGTAATAAGATAAAATATATGAACCAAGATAAACGTTAACTAAAAATGCGCTAAGCACTAGTAGTACAAAACGTTGAACAGCAGCATGAACATGAGTCTGTGTGAGCAAGTGAATTAGACACTTCTGAACCCGATCAGATTAGATATTAATCTTGACTACTTATAACAATAATTAATTTAAACTTATTTTTTTCCCATTTCATCACTGAGAACTTAAAGCCTACTGATAATTTCTAAGAAACAGATTAAAACATTCATAATAAACTACTAGTAATTATCAGATGGTGCTACATGAACAAAACCAAAAACAAGAAATAACATATTACATTTGTCAACAGAAAGAAAAAAGCCCCAGTAACCAAGATTTATAGCTAAACTCAGCAAAACTTTATTAACATGCAGGCTTATCATCATAACATATGCTGATAAGATTTGTGAACCTTTCAAGCACTCCCTGTGTGTTACATGCATTTCTACAAGTCATGAATGAACCCTGAATTAGCTGAGCACATTTCTTTGGCAAGACTGACATCTGCTGGCAGAATGAGGATTGAAGCAATGATTTAAAACCCCTTATTTTGACTTCAAGGTAGCATATTTTTTGTTTCTAAAAATGAATTACTTCTTAAAAAGACATGATATGGAAATTATTAGCTAGACCAATATTTGAAGAGTGTTTGGTGTTTGTGATATGACATATGTAGGTCTAAATTTAATGTTAAATTTTTGGTCTAATGTCACAAAGAAAATCCTGTAAGCAACCACAATATTAACCTGTGGAAGGGGCCGGGCGCAGTTTATTTGCACATCTTCTTTCACTTATATTGAAGTTACTTTATAGCTTTATATTTTGATTTTTCACCATTTTCCCAAGACTATAAATTAACATATTTTGTCCCCATTTCAGTGTATTTTTTAAAGAAGAAGAAAAAAAGTAAAAAGGGGTTGTTTAGTCAGATCAGTGGTATGCCTCAGTCTAGTAAACAGTACAGAAGCATGACGCTTGAGTTCCTGTGGTCGCAATATTGTGCAGTGTTTAATGTTTAAAGAGAAGGGTGTGGTAACATGTAAAAAGGAGGCGTTTTATATATTGGCTGCAAGAATTTAAATGTTTGGGATTGAACGAAAACCGCACAAAGGGTAATAAAGATATTTTGAAATAAATACTATAGTCAGTAATTGAAAAATGATCAATGGCAGCCGCACCAGGTGAGGATGGATAGAAGGAGTGATGAGTGATGTGGTTTCAGGCTGCAGCATGTCCGGAAACCCAGAGCTTGTGCTGTGATCAGCCACCATCTCAGCAGCAGCATAGCTCCCATTCTTTCCTGCCACTGACCTCAGACCAGTCACCACTACTTCCTGTCCGGATGCACAAACATTCACACACATATTGACACAAACACATCAAGCCCAAACTGGCTGGCAATAATTGACCATTTGACAACTTTTACAACTGTCTGAGCGACAGCGTAGCTATGATAAGCAATTTACTGTGCACGTGTGCTCATGCACATATAGTTTGTTTGTTTGCTTTTTAGGGGATGCCTATATTTAGAAGTTCTGAGCAGGCTACTGACTCACTACAATGTTAAAGCGTGTTTTGCAATTTTGAGACATGATACTAACACGCCTACTGAAAAATAACAACAAATACCAATTCACCAGTTAATGTCAAAACAACAGTTTATTGAATACTATGACTTTAAACCAGGGGTGCCCAAACATTTTGCCTGAGAGGGTCAAATTTAAAATCGATCCGAGGGCTGGGGGTCAAATGCAATGATATAATACAAGAAATGCAAATACGCCTTTAAGTAAAATCCATTTATTTACTATACAGTTATTTAAACTTCCATTCTGTATAAAGAACATTACAGAACAGGTTGTGTTAGTGGTGGTGGTGGGGGTCTGGGGGTCCTCCCCCAGAGAATTTTGAATAAAGTAGATGCCATTTCCTGCATTCTGGTTTTACAAAGGTTTATTACAATAAACTAACATGAAACAAAAGATGTAAACTCTGTTATTATTAAAATCTCTCTGACTGCAAAGCGTTCATAACCCTGCTGCAGCTCTGCAGGTAAGGGGTGTTCACTTCAGGACAAATTGTGGTTGCTAATTGGCCAGTTGCTGACGTGCCTACTGGATTGAATGAAGGTGGTCGGACTCGTGCAAAAAGAAAAAAAAAAGAATCATAGGTTTTACTGGCCTGTTTAAGACTGTTGTCATTAATTCCATATGTATTCAACATTTATTCAATATTCAAGGGATTCAAGTTTTTTTTATTTTTATTTTATTTTTTGTCATTTGCACCACATGTGGTGCATGTGGTGGAACGAAATTATGTACACAGGGTCCCAGTTAGATCCAACAAAAGCATAAAATGTAAAAAGAAAACAGTAGTAAGTAATCCTGATGCATGCTCAATAATCCAGGTAGAACAATCTAAAAAAGTTAAATCTGGGCCTCTGGACATTCAAAAAAAAAAAATGTTAGAAATGTTTCGTCTATAAAAAATATTTTGGTGAATCAAAGGTTTGAGAACTGTTTCCTTACAATATCAAAATGATGGCTTCTTAATTTTTCAGAGGTGCTGAGTTAAAAGTGCTTGAACGCCCCCAAAAAGAGGCTCAAATCACCACTGAAGCCAGTTCATATTTATAATTTACTTTTAAACGGTTTATGTGTGATTTATAAGTGTATTAAGTGTAGGATCATTTTGTATTTACTTACTTACCTTCAAAGGAAATTTTAATATAGTAATAGCTTGGTGGGCATACTCAAATGGCTTGGCAGGCCAACTTTGGCACACGGGCCTCATTCTGTTTTAAACAAAATAAAAAAAAATGATATAGAAAAAAAAATTGCAAGAAGATTAAAAGTTTTTTTTCCTGTCAAACATTTTAATATAATGCTTTGGGTTCTCTTCATCAAATATTAGTTTGGTCACTATCATTTGGCTGATGTGATGAACAGCAGAGGGAAGCAAACTGCACTAAAAGTGACCTGAAGTGCATCAGTTTCAGGACAGGATTAATTATTTTACATCTGCTGTAATATAAATGACTTTACCACACAAGGCAGATACTTGGACTTGTGACAACATATTCTCAAATGTTGCTAAAGACTGTTTCATCATGGCATTGACACAGAAAGTGCACATTTAATGTCTTTATGTTTTTGTGTGCACAGGAAGAACAGAAGGCCAATCACAAAAAAAGAGGAAGCATTTGTGGTCAGTTCAAAAGAAAATGTGTTTTATGTTCTCAGTGTCACAGTCTCAAGCCCTCATTTTCTTCTCATTCATCTTTGAATGGTTGACAGTGATGGAAATCCGGACAGAGTTCTGTGAGGCTATATTTGTTTGTATGACGTGCACAAGTCGAAATACATTTGTGAAATAAGTTTTTTCTCTTTTAGTTTTGTACTGTATTTTTCAGACTATAAGGCACATTTAAAATCCTTGAATTTTCTCAAAAATTGACAGTGAGTTCTTATAATCCAGTGCAGTTTATGTATTAATTCTGATTGTGCCTACTGACCTCAAACTGGTTTTATGTGGTACATGGCGCTCAAAAATCTGTCAAAATGAATTTATTTATCTTAATGCACCTTATCATCTGGTGCACCTTATAGTCTGAAAAATACGGTGTGTAATTTTTAATAAATAGCACAGTTCTTATTTTTTTGTCTATTTTTCCACCCTTGGTAATTTAAGTTAGCCTTTACACAGTTAAATTTTTACTCACAATGAGTCTGATTTAATAAATTAAATGTCATATTTCAATTTTAAAGTAGCATTTCAAACTTAATGTTTATTATTTTTTCTATTGTGTCATAATTTGAGCTTTTACAAGCAGTTAAACACTCTGACTTGCAGTGAATCCATACTCAAGTGTATGTTTCTCATACATTTTACATGGTTGCCATGGGTTTTGTCATCTATCAATCATCCGGGTGATGATAAATTAAGAGGTTTAAGTCTCATTGCTCGCTTCTCTGCATGCTCACAGGCACATGTGTACACGTTTACTGTAAATGGGCACCACGCAGCACTCAGACACACACATGTGCCAGCACACATGCAGAGTGTGAGCAATGCAGTATAATAAGTAGCATGGCATAAATGTGGTTAGCTGTACCTCATGTCCAATCATTGAGAAGCCACATGAAGGCTTTTTGGTATTAAAGGACAAGCCTTGGTTGGCTGGGAGGGAATCTGTCATGCAACAAGAAAACAGTTTTTTTCACCCTTTCCCTTTCTTTCATGTCTTCTCAATCCCGCTGTTTCTCTCCTCCATGTTCTGTCATGTTTCCAGTTTCTCTCCATTTTTCTTCATCGTTTCATTCACTTTGTTTCTTTCATTTTGTGGCACATTAGGCTTAGTTGTAATATTCTCCAGCTTAAAATGCTTAGACCGCTGGAATGTTCCGTCAAAAAGGTGGGCGGACCTGAGGAGGGGTACAGACTAACTTAACCAATTAAGGAGGAGATTGAGGTAAGATGGACAACTTCTAAATGGTGTAATAACAACCTACTAAAATGTAATTACAATGCAATAGCAATAGACACTTCTAATGACAGGATGTGTATGCCAACGTGATTTCCTAAGTATGGCCTTTGCATAATGGGTGCCTG